GATCCAGTCCATGTTCAGTCAGTCATTTTGTAAATTACAGAATTAGAGTAGAACTAACTTTTGCCATTCAGTGAAAAATAATATATACTTGTTGGTGGAAATTAGTTGGATTTTGCTTTTTAGTATCGTTTTTGTTTCCAAAAAACTTTGGAGTGGTTGCAAGATTGATATGGCACTTCCTGTTTCACACAAGTAGTAAATAGTGATGCTCCGATTGATCGGCCAGACATCGTGATCGGCCGATAATCACATTTCATGACTCGATCCGTACTTGCTAATCTGGCCAATCTTATGAACCGATCACAATTGTTTGTTTATGATTAGTTTACACATCAGAACTGATTGTTCTGTGCTTTCAACAGTATTGCAAGTTCATTAAAACCTTGCTGGAAATATAAGAGAAATATAAAAAAAAACATAAAAATGATTTTTAACTTGAATATTTAATAATATAACTTATTGTAATAAACAGTATAGAAATATTTTCTATTAGTAAAGAAGTAATGAGATGATAGATGTGCGTTTTAACTTTTTATGTATAAAATATGTGCTCCAAACTTCCATCATTTGCAATGTTTCCAAATTGCTTTGTCACTCATTTTTGATACCATTTTCTTGAATCTGTTTAATCTATTATTTTCTGTAAAGCTGCTTCTGGCCGTGACATGTCCACACTAAATAGTTATTAAGAGATTTGTTTAAGGAATTTCATGCAACATCTTTAATTTATTCTCTTAGGTAAAGTGATATCTTCACTTACTTATCATACTTTGAGGGAAAATGCACTTTATACATTATAAAGCTTGAAGCATCACAATCGGTACTTGGTATCTTCCGATCACATTGACAAGGAATTGGTACACTGTATCGGCTGCAAAAATCTTGATCAGAGCATCCCTAGTAGTAAAGTTGTTATATATTATGCTTTTTGTTTAATATTACATGTCATTGTGTACATTGTAAATTTCGAGTTTACGCAGACTTTAATGTAGCAATTTAAGGGCACCTAAAGGGCAATTCATCTGTAAAAACATTGCATTCCCTTTTATCACATTTCTCCAACACATTGTTTATGCTACTAATATTAGGCCTGTCACAATATCTATTTTTTTTTGTTGTGCGATATATTGCACCAAAATGTGCTAAACAATATTATTGTCATTTTAAGGCCATTTTATGCTCTCATTATATAATGCCAGAATGACAATATAATATCAACACAATGCAGGTACACTCTTCCAAAGAACACATCATATTTTATTCCTAAGAATATTTAATTTCATTATAATCATTTTAACAAATTAATGATTGGGCATTGAAAAGGCATATCTTAAATAAATAAATAAATAATAACTGTTAACAAAAAGTGCAAGGTAAAAAGTAACAGAGGTGGCGAAATCTGCTACAAGACCTATTTTCAGTTGTCAGGCACCCACATGAAAATATATTGTAATCTGTAGGAAATACTATAGTGTTTTTTTGACTACACTGACTCTGACACCTCCAATAGAGATAAAGATGTTCACTCACAATCAGATAAATGTTGCTAGAATTGACTTTTATGTATGGGCGATATATATTGCATCACCAAAAATGATTGAGGTCATGTCCATGTGTTGAGTTATAAGTCAATATATTGTTTATTGTGACAGGCCTAGCTAATATAGATGCTACTTTAAACTATGTGGTTTAAAATGAGATGTGTTGTATTACAAAAACTCTTGGATTGATAAAGGTACCTATTACTAGCGGCATACAGAATGTTTATGCTATTTCTGCCTAGAATTTTGTTCAAAATCTATGGATTTATGCAAAATTATTTTGACAGTATAGTAAATAAATACATAACACAAACACAAAAAAAGATGTTTACAATGCTTTTAAAAGTATACAGTGCAAATCCAACTAGAACCACTTGTAAGTCAAATAATGTTTTCTTTCTTTCAGTAGATATATTATAACTACTATAAGAAAGAAAATATTACTTTACAAACTATATTTGAACATAAACCATAGAAACATTTGCATATTATTCAATAATTTTGCTGGAATTAGTTTAAAAACTGAATATATATATATATCCAGAAAGCAGGTTATGTGACATACACGGGTAAGTTTGAGAGTAAGTAGGTGGATAACGTCAACTTTGGTTCCAAAATTTGGAGGTAACTTCTGAGTATGTTAAGTAGTCATAGCAACTTACTCTCTGAAGATAACCTGCTCCGGAGCAGGTTATGTTCAGAGAGTAAGTTGCTATGTTTCAGAGTTTGTCTGTTTCAGAGAGTTTACTGAGCATTGCGTGCTCTTTTGATGAGAATATTTATGGATGTGGACACACAGATACAAGTTTTTTCGTTGTGAGAGGGTTATAAGTGCATAGTTTTTTTCATAACCAAATTCATAATGTTAATGTATTTAACAAACCTTTTTGAAATCAAATGTGACAAACCGCGGGTCTGCGCTTACCATAAAAAACATTCAGTGCAGCTCTTTGTATTCGCGTCAGGGCATTTTAGGCAACTGTACAATGTGGCAGTATGACCACCTGTACAGTATGCCTGGCACTGAACTGTTTTTTTACACTTTTGTACAGTTCCTTGGTCATACATTACTGCGTATCATTACACAGCTGATTCAGAGCACGGGAATAGCGTAGTGGACAGTGCGTCGATAAAGAACAACGGAGCGCACAACGGAGCGAGTTCGAATCTAACTTACAGATCTTGTGTTTTTTCTCTCCTTCTGCACCCTCACATTTTTCTGTATAATATTATAAGTGGCAGCTTTGACTTTTGTAGGAAAATATATCTTTAATTTAAGATGTAGGACGTCGTTTTTATATATACATTTACGCACACACACCTACATTTTTTAATATAATATTTTTTTCAGGGTTTCTAAATGCTATTCTGTGCATTAATTGCAGCCTATTTTGAAGCTCCATCGGTCACTAAAGGACACTGATAATATAAAATTTGTCCAAAGTAAGTGTGCAGGTACAACTTAATTTTCTATCCTTAATCTTTTGGTGTTTTAACTGTTAAACTCATTACTGCTTCCACTTACCAGCTCATCACACACTCCACCTCATCACTATGTTGAGGCTAAATGGCTGATTTTCAGGAAGTAATGATTCAAGTGTATAACAAAATATAGTAAAAAAAAAAACTATAAAGCAAATGTTGCTTAACACAATGTTTATTTTTATTATATTTGTATTATAAAATAGAATCATTACTGGGCACTACATTGTTACTTGCTGGAGGACAAAAGATACCCTTTTCTGCCTTATACGATGACACGTACCTGCAGCCTGACCCAGAGGAAATCTCAGTGACCCAGGCAGACAAAACAGATGGAAGAGTGCTAAAAAATATAATTAGTCAAAAAACTATGTTTAATCAAATAGTTTGGTCTGTTCATTTCTTCATTTCCTGAAATAAAATGAATGATTTTGTACTCTGCTTTATACACACACCTTTCAACGTGTAACATATTTTTCATATACATTTCTCACCTTAAGTTGATGCTCATGTGACTTTATCTTTGAAGATGGACCTTATACAGCTACTTTAGAATTTAAATATGTAGATAAAAGATTTTGTGATCCAAGAGTAATATTCAAATATGGAAAAGTGCAGAAAATTCTTACACTGCTTGTTAGTTGAGGCAGAAGGAACTTCGTCTGCATGCAAAATAAAAAGAACCTAAAGCTATCTGACAACAATCACTTACAACAGTGACAGAGTGTGTGGTTTAAGTGAAAAACTCAACCACTGAAAAGCCTTTATTATAGGACACAGCAGTTAGACAGGCCTCTTTCTATTAGCTGCATGACAGAAAGAATATTCTAGAGTGTTAAATACAGAGCTCCAGTAATTAAATATTACCTTTTATGATAATGTTTCTGTGTTTAATGACTTTGGACAGAGTTCTAGCTCCAGAAAGATTACAATTTCTATAAGCCTTATTAGTCAATACACATATTGTGGCCTTAAGAAATTAATGGCAAGAAAAAATAAATGCATGAATGGTTACACAACATACTCAAAAAGGATGTTAAAGAGTAGTTTCATTTATCATTACAATAAAATGGAGGGTGGCATGTGTAATTTAATGAACTAATAAATTTTCTTATTATTTATTTTTTATTTTCTTATCTATTTCTTATTCTATATTTCTTTCCTTCGTTGAAGCAGATGTGTAATCTCTGTTTTTAAAACCTCCAGCTTCGCCTCTGTAAAGTGCGTTGCCCTTTTTTTCTCACCTTGACTTTCTATGGTGACTCGTGAATTTGGCGATCTACTGAAAATGCCTTCAGGTGTGTGCCGTGCACGCGCATTAACCCGCGGTTATCTTCAGGAGGTTGATTTAACTAACTCTTGTCACCTGTTTTGGAACCAACATACTCGCGGTAAGCAGGTTTTGGGCAA